ATACCTGATTTTATTATCTGGGAAAAGAGGCTCGTATGTATAAAAATAAAGCTTATATCTTCTCCGAACTTGTTTGAACAATCCCTATATACGAATCACTAGATTACTACTACTCGTACTGCTACTACTACTACTACTTCTACTAGTACTACTACTACTACTACTACTAATACTAATACTACTACTACTACTACTACTAATACTAATACTACTACTACTACTACTACTACTACTACTACTACTACTTCTACTACTACTACTACTAATACTAATACTACTACTACTACTACTACTACTACTACTACTACTACTACTACTACTAATACTAGTATTACTACTGCTACTAATACCACTTCTACTACTACTACTACTACTACTACTACTACTTCAATTACTACTACTACTATTACTACTATTACTAATACTAATACTAATACTACTACTACTACTACTACTACTACTACTACTACTACTACTACTACTAATACTAGTATTACTACTGCTACTAATACCACTTCTACTACTACTACTACTACTACTACTACTTCAATTACTACTACTACTATTACTACTATTACTACTACTAATGCTAATACTATTACTACTACTACTACTATTTCAAAATTCAATTAAAAAAGAGTTTATTCAACAAATGCTTAGCAGCCAATTTAGCCATTTAGATCTCTTTGAAGACGTTCTCTTGTCATCACAAAATACTTTTTTTCTTGACTCACTTTATAGGGCGCTTGGAGCTTACTTCTTAAATATCAACGGAATCTTTAGGGAGAACTTGAAATGACAGTTTTTCTTTATTTTTGCTTTACTTTCTTTTCTCCTTTGATTCTCTTTATTCCTTGTTTATTTTGTTCTTGTATTTACTTTTCTTCTCCCTATCTTCTCCTCTCTTTTTTTGCTTTGTTTTCTCGGCGTTGAACTACGTGCTGTCTTAATCTTGCAGATCAACTTTTTAGTAGTAATTTTACTTTTGCGTCGTTGTTCCTCATTATTCTCATATCTCTTTCTATTTTCCCCTTTCCTCCCTCTTGATTTTTTTCTTCTCTATTCGGTTGCTCCCCCCCCCCCCGTTTCATTTCCTTTCCCTTTTCTTTCATCATTCTTCTAAGTTTTTCATTTTTTAAACTTCTCTCTTTTATCTCATATCCACATTCTTCTTTCCTTTCAATTTTCTTTCATATTCCTCTCGATCTTATATCTTTCTTTCTTGGCTACTTTGTATTTCCTTCTTTCCTCTTGTTTCCTATAAGGCCAACTGAAGTTTTAAAAAAAATGACCAGTTTCTCGTCCGGACTCTTTACAAAGAGACAGCGCTTTACTATTTACTATTTTTCATTTTTTTGCCATTTATTTCCAAGATGGCTGCCATGCTAAACATGGCTGCCAAGGTATATTATTTGTTCACATATATTGTGCTATTTGAGTATACTTATGCAATGTATCACAAAACAAATGATTTGTATCATTTTAGTCCACTTGCTAAGCAAGTTTCGAAATTCAGAAACGGTGAAAATGTTCATGTGTTCAGCTTGAATTAGCTATTTAAAAATGTACATCACAGCCTTTTTTTCCTTCTTCTTCTGAATGGGAAAACGGAGGCGGGCGGGGGCGAGAAACTCGTAAGTTTTTTAATTAGCCTAACCCCTTGCCTATTCTTTTCCTTATTCATTCTATTTTTCTTCCTCTCCCTTCTCCTTTTTCCCTTTTTCCTTCTTCTTTCGTCCTTTTCTCTCTCCCCCCCCCCCACCTTTTGCTGACAGAGGTGGCGTATTGAGAGGGGGTGTTAACCCCCTCCCCCTTCCAGCAACGCTCCTGTGCATGACGTAAGGTAAATCAATAATGATAAATCAAAATCGATTTTAGCAACTGTCCACCAAAAAAAGTATATTCTTATCTCAATTGCATTAACTTCATCACGCGGCGGCCATCCAAGCCAAAGGCTTTTAATTGTGTCAAGACAGTTTACATTGACTAACTTTCGTAGTGGATTGTGTAAATTTAAGACAAAATAGTTTCAACAGTTTTCCAGTCTGTTTTGGATACCCATCTATCCCTTTCCTTAGTAGTGAAACTACATGTTACTGGGACAAAATTCAGTATTAGAACGGATTATATCAACACATAAATAAAATAATTAAAGAACAATAATGAAAAAATTATATGATGAAGGCTGAACCCGCGATTTCTTTCCTACCATAAGCTTGCTTGCTTGTGTGATGTCCTTAGGGGCTCCCACTTAGCCGAGTTGGAGCAACGAGTTGTGGCGAACTGGCTCGATGTTGTGGCAAGCAGTTTTATCATTACAACATATTTCTTGATATCACGAAATCATATTCTTGTTATCACGAATTACCATTGCTTTACAACGTAAAATTACTTTTTGATATCAAGAATTGATTTCTTGATATCAAGAAATATGTTTTAATGATAAAACGGCTTGCCATAAGATCGAGCCAGCTCGCCACAACTCGAGGCTCCAACTCGGCTAAGTGGGAGCCCTGCATTAGGGGCTAACCACCCTTTGCGAATTAAGGTTCTTTTGTTCAAACTACATGTATCATGAAATGAAAGCAATTTGAAATAAAATGTGGATTCATCTTTGGAAATATTGAACGCTCATTGGCATTTATTTGTATCATCGGCTTGAGAATATTCAGTTTTGAAGATTGTTTTGTTTACTTTTTTTAAGACGCTTAAAATACATTAAACAGATGAGAATTGATATCATCTATCTCTGTCTCTTAATCTTATATCATGAATCACCTATTATATTATGTCTCCCATCTACCATCTCTGTCTCCCCTTCTCTTTCTCTCTACCTTTATTTTCCATCTTCCTCGTCTATCTCTCATTCTCTTCCCCCCTTTTTTTTTCTCTCTCTCTCTACCCCTCCTTTCTCATTCCCTCCCTCACCTGGGTCTCTCTCTCCTTCTCTTTTCTCCCTCTCTCTCTCTCTCCTTCTCTCTTTTTCTCTTTCCCTCTTTCATCAGTCGTATTTTTTTTTGGGGGGGGGGCGGAGGGGGAAACGGGGAAAGGAAACTTCCAACGATAATATGCACCCTCGGTTAGGTTTAATTGCAACCAAAAAAACGTTTTTAAAGGATTGAAATTCATAAAATTATCTCTTTAGCTTGGTTGCTCAGCTTCCCGAGCATAAAAAGATTAATTTGGATCTTGTTAAATTTTGCTCTTTTGTGGAGCCTAAAGTGCATCAATAAAACCAAACGAAACATTACAGTTTGAGGTTAACCTTCAGAAAACACTCTCTAATCCGACTTTAAGTCCAATTTTGAGCATTAAACAGATGATAAGTAATATCATCTATCTCTGTCTCTTAGTCTTATATCGTGAATCGCCACGTATATATGTCTCATATCTATCATCTCTGTCTTCCCTTCTACCCCCACCCTAGCCTCTCTCTCTCTCTGTCCAAAATGTTTGATCTATCTCTATATATATCCTTATATTTTTGGTCTCACCCCCTCCCTTCTCTCTCTCTCTCTATCATTATTTTCCAACTTCCTCGTCTATCTCTCATTCTCTTCCCCGTTTTTTTTCTCTCTCTACATATCCTCTCTATCTATCCCTCCCTTTTTACTCCCTCCCTCACCTGGGTCTCTCTCTCTCTCTCTCTCCTTCTCTCTCTCTCTCTCTCTTTCTCCCTCTTTTTTTTCTCTCTCTCTATCTTCTTTTCTCTTTCTCTCTCTCTCTCTCTCTCCCTTTTTTCTTTCTTCCTCTCTCTCTTTCCTTTTCTCTTTCTCTCTCTCTCCTTCTCTCTTTCTCTCCCTCTCTCTCTCTTTTTCTCTTTCTCTCTCTCTCTCCTTCTCTCTTTCTCTCTCTCCCTCTTTCATCAGTCGTACTTCAAAAATAAATTGTTAATTAATATTGAAATGTGTGGGGGGGGGGGGGCGGAGGGGGAAACAGGGAAAGGGAACTATGCTCCCTCAGTTAGGTTTAATTGCACCAAAAAAGGTGTTTTTAAAGGATTGAAATGTAAAAAATATCTTTTAAGCTTGGCTGCTCAGCTTCCCGTGCATAAAAAGATTAATTTGGATTTTGTTCAATTTTGCTCTTTTGTGGAGCCTAAAGTGCATCAATAAAACCAAACGAAACATTTCAGTTTGAGGTTAAACCTTCAGAAAACTCTCTCTAATCAGACTTTAAGTCCAACTTATGAAATTTCTCGAATAGTTATATCGAATAAATAACATTTGTCAATTTTTTAAAGAAACTTTAAATCATAATCGCTTTCTAATTTCCTGCGCGTTTCTCTGAAGTGTATTATGAATGAGAAGTTGAGTTTGAGGGGAGTTGAAAATACAAACAAAACCAAACACCCTGTTTTCTTGCTACCTCGATTGAAAAGTTATTATCAAACATGTAACTACCACTCGATTTTTAAATACATTAACAAGATGTCATTGTAACATAGTTCCATAATTTCTGAATACAAAGTGGGAATTATTATAGTTTGTTTTCTTCAGCTGATAAGTTTTGACGGAGGGAGGGGGGGGGGGTTCAAGTTTATCACTTGCCCCGGGCGTTATAATCCCTCGATACACCACTGTGAATGATTTCCAGTCCCTGTCGTGTACAGTCTGATATACGCTCTCTTTTGTTCTCAACTCATTGAATACGACAAAACGCGATTGAAAACTACTTTTTCCGAAAATAAAGAAATGCATTTAATGCAGTTGAAAAATGAAATACACTAAGAACAGAATAATATTTTTATATTTCCTTTTAGAAGAATAATTAAGATGAAACAATTACCCCCCCCCCCCCTCATGCCTATTCTTGTGAATCATTGACACTTTCTAGTAATGAATTAATTGAACAAAAAGAAAAATTATGTTAATCTTTTATATTATCCGCAATTAATAATAGACTTCATAAATTAAATTAAGAAGATTCCTTGTTTTGACGTCGGCATATATTCCAATGCTTAACATGTAAAGAAAGATTAACAATACCATTACGATAGATACAAGTTAACTGAGTTGAGAGTTAATAGCAGCAGCTTTAATTTGAAATAAAGTGGAGTTCCCCAAAGAACCAATTAACTTTTGACAAATTAATACATGTAGTGGCATGTCAATTTCCAAAAGATTTTTTTTTAGTTAAGAGTGATTACATTAACATGTAAAGAAAGATTAAACAATACCATTATGATAGATACAAGTTAACTTAGTTAAGAGTTAATAGCAGCAGCTTTAATTTGAAATAAAGTAGAGTCTCCCAAAGAACCAATTATCTTTTGACAAATTAACACACGTAGTGGCATGTCAATTTCCAAAAGATTTGTTAATAGTTAAGAGTGATTACATTAATGAAGATAAAGGCTGGTAAACAATGCATGGAATCCTCTAGACATAAATGTTTCATAAGATTTAGCAAAGTTTGTCCAGTTGAAAAGAAGATAATTCAAGACGTATCTTGTCCTGGAATGCAAGTGTAATTGTTGCTGTACATGTGCTGCATTGTTAAAATTGAAAGTTAGACTAGACAACTCAGGGGAGTGAAACATACGTTTGAGGTGGTATTGAAAACCACTGTCAGAACCACTACAGTATCGAGCTTCATGACGCTCTTGTGTTTTAGGGATTAAGAGATACAAGTTTTGAAAACTATTCATCTGGTAGAGTACCTTATACATTCATGATGAGGAAGACAATTCATAATAAATTGTGGTTTATTTCTTATGATGCATCTATTAAAGATTGATAATTTGTTGAATCAGAAGTGGGACCAATACAGGTAATGCACAGCAACCGCCAGTAGATGGTATCTGTAATGAGAAGAAAAGTCATTTTTTTTCTCTTTGTCTTTGATTTGCCTTCAACACTGTTACGATTGCAAATATTATATTCAGTGTGAATATCAATTTCAGTTTCATTTTTGTATTGTTCAATGGAAATTTCCTTTGCTCACATTATAAATACAACTTCACGTAACTTAATATGCATAGATACAGCAAATACAGATATCCTGGTATTGATATATATCATAAAAGATACGTTATTTAATTATAAACCAAAACAGTAACGCATTTTAATTGTATATGGGAAAAAAGTTGATATGTAACATGACAGAGAAAGGGAGAAAGATGGCGCCCTACTAAGTCAAACCGTATTTTTTTCTCATCGTGGAAAATTTCTGTAAGATCACTTAAAAATGAGTGGAAAGAAAAGACAGATGGACAAAATGGACGTTTCACCAAGGATTTCCCAATACTTCACCCCTTCTGGCTCGATTTCAGGCAGAACAGAGATGGATATCGATGAAAACTCGGACATTCAACTTGAAAATCTCACTCAGCAGTCAGTGCTTACTGGAACCAGCGAAGCAGGCCAGGACTCGCAGGAGTCGCACCCACAAGCTGTCGGGGAAAGGAGAAGGAAAAAGACGAAGACGAACCGCGGGCAGAGAAGAAGCGAAAGATCAATGGAGATCAAAAGGTGCAGGCAAGTACAACCACTGAAGATTTACTAGCAAAGCTTCTTGACAGAATGGATCAAAGGAACTCAAAATTCAATGACATAGTGGCCAGATTAGACTTATCCCTTACTCAGATTGATAACAATAAGAGAGAGATAGAAGAAGTGAAGGAAAAGCAAGAAGGGATTGAGTTTGACATTGGTTCAATCAAAGAGAAATTGCACGCACAAGAAAAGGAGAATGAGAAGTTGCGCGAACGTCTGACAGACCTATCCGCCAGGGGAATGAGAAACACACTTGTGTTCCAAGGCTTTCCAGAGGGTGCTGAGAACAAGAATTGTGAAAATTTGATCCAGTCATTTGCCAAGTCGCATTTGCAGATTGAAGCTGAAGTAATCATCGAAAGGGCACATCGCAGCGGAAGCACCTCATCACCTCGACCAAGGCCGATTATTGCAGCCTTTAATCGGTACTCGACCAAAAGTATGATCCTGGTAAATGCACGTCGCTTCTTGAAGGAGAAACCCTTTGAGCACAATGGAAAGCATCCTATTTACGTGGATGAAATGTTGCCCAAGGAAATTCGTGAACAACGGAAGAAGCTGATTCACATCAAGAAGAAGCTGAAAGAGGAAAATACAAGGAGAGCAGTGTACTTCAAGTATCCTGCTCGCATCTTCTACAAAGAAGGAAAAGACGGGAAGGAGAAAGAATACAAGATGAAATAACTCAAAACGTCAAAGGAAAGAAAATATTATCATTCCACATCGAAATGCTGGAAACATAAAAAAAAAAAAAAACATGAATAATGTTATAGAGCTGGACTTACCTTGCCTACTTAAAAACAAGAAGAAAAGTGAAAAAGGAATACTTAGATTAGGTTAATGACAAGAACTTAACTCTGAGAGTGAACTTTTATAGGTGAATATGTGGAAAAAGCACTCAAAGGATAAAAGGAAAGACCACGATGTAGAGCGCCACCTTGATCTCCCTAAGGCATACAGAAGAACTAGCCTTTGTTATGATTTGTTTTTTGTGTTGTTTGTTTGTTGAACCTGAATGTTTAATATATGTTAAACCTGATCTTATAATGGTGGTATTTTTAAGTAATTCATATCTCAACTATGGATTTGAAGCTGATGACACATAATGTTAACGGATTGGGGGACTTTAAAGCAAGGAAACGTTATTTTAATTATATGCTTAAACAGAACAAAGATATTATCCTTTTACAGGAAACCCATTCTGTAGAAAAGGAAGAATCATTATGGAGAAATCAAGTCAGATCTGATATTATTTTCAGTCATGGAACTTCTAAGAGCAGAGGAGTATGCATTATATTAAGAAAGACACCTGATTTTAAATTGTTAGACTCCATTAAAGATATAATGGGACGATTTTTATTGGTAAAAGTTGAAATTCAGAAGAAAGTTTATGTGATATGCAACATATATGCACCAAATAATGAGAAGGATCAGGTTGAGTTTTTTAAGAAGGTAGAATTGACCATACAAGATAACGTTGAAAATGGGGAAATTCTAATAATTGGTGGGGACTTTAATTTAATTCAAAACCTCGATCTGGACAGGGCAGGTGGCTCAATGAAAAGCATTTGGAAGCACTCTGTGAATCTTATAGAAAATCTGAAAATATATTTTGGTTTGGTTGATGTTTGGAGAATCAGAAACCCCTGCAAAAAAGGATTTACATGGAGAAGGTATAACCCACTGGTGCAATCTAGATTGGATTTTTGGTTAATCCATGAATCCTTACAGAATACAATTAGTGAAAATGATATCATACCGTGTGTTTTGTCTGATCATGATCATGTTAGTTTGCACATGAAAATTAAGACAAAAAATTCTGGTCCGTCCTACTGGAAATTTAACAATAGTCTATTGAATGAGGTGGATTATGTTAATGCTTTAGCTAATAAATACTCAGAATGGATTGGTGATTTTACAGATAGTAATGATAAAGGAGGGCTATGGGATTGGTTAAAGTTTAAAATTAGAGAATTTACTGTACCATTTTCTAAGAAGAAGAAATGTGAAAGGGAAGAGAAAAGAAAGGCTCTTGAAAAAGAATTGAAAAAATTAGATGACAGGATGGCAGCAGAAGATATAGATGAAGAATTAATGAAAAAGAAAAGGGAAATAGAACAGGAGTTGTTTAAAATATACGACTATTTTGCAGATGGGGCAATCTTGAGGTCAAGGTGTACATGGTATGAGAAAGGGGAAAAGAGTACTAAATATTTTTTGTCATTGGAAAAAGGTCAAGCAGCAAATTCCAATATTGATGTTTTGATTTCAGATGTAGGACGTATTGATAAACAGTCTGAAATACAGGATTTCATTAAGAAATCATATAAAACTTTGTTTGAGAACAAAGATAAGGTGGAAGATGAGGTGAGCAAAGATTACATAAGTCAGAGTAACATCAAGCAACTCACAGACGAAGAAAGAAATTCATGTGAAGGAAATATCACTTGCTCTGAAGCTAGGGCAGAATTGTTAAAAATGGCTAGAAATAAAACACCTGGGAACGATGGGTTAACTGTGGAGTTTTATGAGATGTTTTGGCCTTTGATATCAAAAGAAGTTATTGATTCTTTCAATTTTGCATATGAAAATAGTGTAACGTCTGTGTCACAAAGACAAGGTACAATTAAACTCATCCCTAAGCCTGATAGAGATAAACACACACTGAGCAATTGGCGTCCCATAACTCTTTTAAATGTAGATGTTAAAATACTTTCTAAATGCTTGGCAAAGAGAGTTGCTAAGGTGATAGGAAAGTTAGTAGATAGTCAACAAACTGCCTTTATTAAAGGCAGATACATAGGGGAAGGAATAAGATTAATATCAGACCTCTTACAATATACTAAGGAGGAGAATTTGAGAGGTATTATGCTAGCCCTTGATCTTTCAAAAGCATTTGATTCAATAAGCCACAGGTACATGCTAAATTGTTTAGAAGCGTTCAATTTTGGACCATCTTTCATACAGTGGGTTAGAACATTGCACACTAATATAAGTAGTTGTGTATTGGTGAATGGATTTACCACTGGATATTTTCCAGTGTCTAGAGGAGTCAGACAAGGTGATCCTCTGGCTCCTTTACTGTTTATACTGAGCTTGGAAGTTGTTCTTACAAGACTTAATAATAATGATAATATTCAGGCTTTTGAATTTAGTGGAAAACAAATAAAGTATACAGCATATGCTGATGACATAACTTGCTTTTGTAGGAATATACAATCAATGAAGATGGTTTTCAAAGTTTTTGAAGAATTCTCAATCATATCAGGTCTTTATTTGAATAAAACAAAAACGGAAGGTATATGGGTTGGGAAAGATAGGCACAATGGAGAAAAAACAAATGATATACATTGGGCAGACAAAAGCATAAGAATTTTAGGCATTCATTTCTCATATGATCAGGAAGTAGTCAGGAAACTGAACTTTGATAAGAGACTGGATGAAATAAAATGTACTTTCTTAAGATGGAAGAATCGGGGGTTAACTTTAATAGGAAAAATTCAACTGTTGAAAACATTTGTTATGTCTAAGATTATGTATATAGTTTCCAATATTGAAATACCTGATGATTTTGTTAAGGAGGTTGAAAAGTTGATGTTTCAGTTTATATGGAAAGGTCCAGATAAGATATCACGGGCAACAATGATTGCAGATTATACTGAAGGTGGTCTTAAATTCCCGAAACTAAAATGCATGATAGAGACACAGCTGGTTAAGTGGATTCAGAGATATTATACAGAATCAGATCATCATTGGAAGTTGTTCTTTGACCACTATAGTAAACGATTTGGTGGAAAATTGATTTTTATGAGTAATTATTCTATGAACCAGTTGAATTCTCTTGGAATTCCCATATTTTATCATAACTTGTTGTTAGCATGGTCCAAGACAAAGGAGTATAATCAATTTGTTGATGATCAAGGAGCCCAAGCAAGTGTACTTAGTCAAATTGTTTGGAACAATCAATATATTCTTATTGATAATAAATCAGTTTACTGTAAGGCCTTTCATGAGGCAGGTCTATGTTATGTATATCAACTTTTTGATCTACATGGAAACATTGTGCAATTTAATTTTTGGAAAGCAAGAGGAGTACCAGGTAAATACTACATGATATATTTGGCAATAGTATCGCTAGTCAGGAAGAAATGGGGAAGTTCATTTAATCAATTATTGATACAAATGTTCTTGGAGAAAATAGATTTTGAACATGATCAGTCTGACCTTTTGACAGTAGAAATTCAAAAACTAAAAACTAGAAATATTTATGTTGATTTAGTTAGTAAATTGACATGTAGACCTGTCTGTGAACCCCTATTTTCCACTAAATATGGGATAGAAGAGGAGGAATGGCCACAAATGTATCTACTCCCATTTAAATGCACAATAGAAGTTAAGATGAGAGTCTTCCAGTTTAAAATTTTGCATAATATTCTATACACCAATGAGAGACTATTTAAAATGAAGCAAGTTCAGACAGAACTTTGCACATTGTGCGAGACCTCTGTTGAAACTCCTTTACACCTTTTTTATGAGTGTAAGGTTGCTGAAGATTTAAGACGAGCTTTTGTTGATAAAATTGGTCTAAAGCTATCTGTCAGATATGAGGATTTATCTAGGAAAAGAATGATGTTTGGATTCATAAAGGATTGGAAGGGACCACATAAAATATTATTAAATCACTTAATTATCTTATTGAAGAGATACATTTATATTCAGAAATGCAGGAATTTAGTAGTAAGTTTCATAGGTTTTGAAACGTTCATTTGCAAAATCAGACATATAGAATTGGTAATTGCTAAACAAAAGCACAAAGAAAACATGCACTATAGAAAATGGTCCCCTATTGAGAAGTTATTTTAATTATCCATAATTATATTTTGATAATGATATAGTTCAAACCACCCGAGACTGATTTTTTAGTTTTTACATCAGGTCTGTTTGTTTGTTTGTTTGATTGTTGTTGTTTTTTTTGGGTAATTGTTACAGTGATTCGTATTTGATTATTGTTCTTTTAATGTTATACAATTATTTAATTCTTGTATGATTGTTGTTTTTGTAATGTTACAAAAAATTTCGAAAATCAATAAAAATTTGAAAAAAAAAAAAAAAAAAAAAAACATGACAGAGAAAATACAAAAGGATTTGATATTACGTATAGCAGACTGATTGTATGTAAGAAAAAAAGAGGTTCAGAGGATCAAAGGATGTTTGCTATCGTTCATCCTGCATTCATAGTTTCTATAACTGTGTATTTGTGTCTTACAAGTACACACTAAATTAAACCACAGTAGAGGGTAAACCTACAAAGCAATAATTATCACAAATTGCTTTGTTTTGTATATTTACAATTATATACAAGCATTTTACAAAACCTACCCACACAAGGTACCTTTGGAACAGTCTAACACGCCCGAGGTGATATCCGAGGGTGTTTGGACTGTTTCGAAGGTACCGAGTGTGGGTAATTTTACTAAAGACCGAACAAAATGATGTGTATTATTCGTTTTATAAAATGATGTTTTATAACATGATTTTGATAATGACCAGTCATTATCCAAATTACGCGTATGGTAAAATAAATGCCTGGTCAAGTGTACGCTTTGAACCAATCATTTTATTAGGATCCACGTCATCATCTTATAAAATCAAATATACTATATTGTGTATACATGTATACTATCTCAACAAAATATAGTTGGCTTACAGAACTCCGAAATCCCCCCCCCCCCCCAAAAAAAAAAAAAAAAAAAAAAAAAAAATTACTATATGTAAGCCTGTAGGCATGTAGATAAACATGAAATGTAATTGTTTGGTATTTTATTCTTCCCTAAGAGGGTTTGTGAATGTTGGTTCATTTTATACACGTATAACTGTATTCAACCAAATGCCAAATTTGAAGATGTAAATTTGTAATGCCTATTCATAGTGACAGGCAGTGAATTGGCATCTAATTCAATTATGACCTCTTTGAATAATTTTTGCATTTTGATAAAACTATACATTGTAGGTAATTACATTCCGGAATGAAATACAATTGTCATACCAAGTGACACCGCACAATTATACAAAATTATATTCAATTTAAAGGTAAGACCGTTTAAACATAATAGAAAAGAGAAAAATGGATGATGACATGAAAGTATTATATCGTTGAATAAAACTCATATAACAGCTATTTGAAATATTAAAAATAATACAAATACTAGAAGAAAACAAGAAATAAGTTTCTGTTACCTATGAAGCTTCGCAAACAGCTGGAAGTCTCTTCCAGCAGCAGATTTGTGCCAATCCACTCCTGTTGGAAGCAGCACAATCAGCGTTGTTGTTGTTGCGCCAGGTAATTGAAGAGCTGACTCTGTAAAGATACCAGCATTCACGTTACTATCAGAGCTCAAGCGTACATCAGTGATTTCTATATTTCAATACATGATTATTAATATCGCAGCTAATGGTGTAAATCATGTGAATTGTAATGTAAACAGAATCGCTTTTATGCATTTCAAAATAAGTTAGAAGGATTGGCAGCGTATCTGACCCTGATTCATAAAACTTGTTATCAATAACAAATTTAAATTTCTGCAAATCCGCTCTCAGCCGATCAAATACCACTATTTCAGTAGCTTATAACAGTTATCGTTACTTATTATTGATAGCAATTTGTATGAAGCAAGGACTGATGCCATTATTTCAGTAGCTTATAACAGTTATCGTTTCTAATTATTGATAGCAATTTGTATGAAGCAAGGACTGATGCCATTATTTCAGTAGCTTATAACAGTTATCGTAACTAATTATTGATAGCAATTTGTATGAAGCAAGGACTGATGCCATTATTTCAGTAGCTTATAACAGTTATTGTTACTTATCGTTGATAGCAAGTTTTATGAAACAAGGGTCCTGATTATTACACCGAGCCGACTTGTAAACTTTGGCCTACATTGCATGGACCCTTCAAACCAAGTGTGCCATTCTTCCACGCCTATAGCGAAGGGGATACCTTGCAGGTTATAACCTACTACCATGCATGCACATGAACAAAAATAATAATAATAATAGTTCGCTCTTTTATAGCACATCTCAGGACCGATGGCCCTCTCAAGGCGCTTTACAATGTACAATGTACGTTTACATAATAATTACTCGAAGCATTCATCAAAAAGGTGAGTTTTCAGCGCTCATTTAAAAAACTTCAACGTCAGTCATTGAGCGTAGCGACACTGGGAGAGCGTTCCAAAGTTTTGATCCACCACATGCAAATGGCTAAACTATCATTTTCTCACGAATGTGCTGCACTATGAAGCTACTTGAACTCCCGTTTAGTATTAGACAGGCCCTGGCGGGAATTCTCTCCTCCAAGGAGTGGAGATGTTAATCATGATCTTAGTGGTATTATTTGCGAAACGCTTCCAGGCATTGAGCATACCATATTCACCTAAACGATTTAGTGTTGATTGGTGTTTCTTTTATGTAGCCACTACTATTCTTCTGCTTAATAAATAACACAACCAATTAAATTCATGTTTGTCTGAATAAGATAAAATCATGATCAATCAGTAACATCCGTTATTGACTCATTAACTTTGAAAATATGCCTAAATTGATAATTTCACGACATTTGCATGATAATGAAATTATGGCAAAGGGTCTATTCAATCCATGGCACTAACAGTGTTGACAGTATGATTTGCTTGAGTGAGTTTTGGCTAATAATAAACAAACTCGCGGAAACCGAATTGCGCAAAAATGACGTTGAACTTGGGAGTGTTTCACAAAGATTAAGATCGACTTTAAGTTGGACTTAACCATGGCAGGCCATTCATGCCACTGGTTGCTCTCACCATTGGTCTCTCAATTATGATCTTTGATCTGTAGATAATATTTTTAACTTGAATAATGAACTATCAAAAAAGGTAAATTCTGTAGTTTCGTGACCATGATTTGTACGTCCCTTGATAAACCAATGCCAGGAATGGTAATAGGAACTAGTGGCATGAATTGCCTGCCATAGTTAAGTCCAACTTAAAGTCGATCTTAGTCTTTGTGAAACACCCCTCTGGTCTTGAATTGGAGCAAAATACATATCAGGCATCGATTTCAGTTGCTCTGTTAACAATCAATTATTGATTTGAATTCCATCAGTTGGTATTTGACCTTACATGTGCATCTGCACTCGTGCATCCCCGCGGCTCGAGCGCCTTACATTTGTGCTGGTAGCAATAAGGTGCCTATTAATACACCAAGGTGTTCAGATTCTTTGTAGGCAGATATGGCTCTTTATATGACCAAAAAAGGAATTTGTAAGCAATTATGGAAAATATGGGTGAAAAGGAATACTTATTTGAATGAAAAGAGACACTTATCCAAAGCGAAAGGGGGAACTTGTCATATTTGGAATGGGGCATTCTTAGCATTTTAATAGGGATACTCATCACATTAGAAAAAGAAGACACGGCTTAGTAGCAAAGGGCACTTTTCAGAAGGGGAGAGATATTTACTAGAAAGGAGAACCTGTCAAAGTAAATTAAAGGGGTAATTGTCAGATGTAATAGGTGCGCTTCTCAGAGGTGATAAGGGGCACTTCTCAAAGGCTCTTATCGAAAGTAAAATGGGGCACGTTAGGGGTACTTTAGTAGTAGGGGCGTTGTGACCCTTTACCCCCCCCCCCCCCCCCAGGAGCGCCTATTCTGTTATCTGATTTTGGTTGTTAAGTGAGAGGAAGAGGCTGCTTTACTTACTCGGCGAATTCAGTTGTCTGCCACGAACCACAGAGTTGGTTAAGGTTGATCCAATGATTGGCAGATCTCTGTTGAGCTGAGAGGAATGCTGTCACTTCTTGAGCCTGTTCCGTGGTTGAAGCCAGGGCTAGGAACCCGCCTTCGGCCTTGCATCTCTACAAGGATAAGGTAAAATTTTAAAAAAAGGTTATAAATATAGTATAATGACGTCACAAATAGAGTTTTCCGAAGGTCTCAATGAATCACCTTTTCTTTCTCATATTGGTCATTTTCCACTCTTTCATCATTTAAAACATGAAACCGTATATTGAATGGACCACATGAATGAAAATTACCCTACAAAATATGTTTTAAAGCCAATTTGGAACTGAATTAGAATGAGCAATCTAGATCAAAGATAGAAATGAAACGTTACTAAAATGACAAACTATAATGTGAGTGTGTGTAACATACAAAGGCTTGTCTTCTTTTCCTTATCATCTTGCTTTGCCGATACAGTGCTGTGGAAAAGGTTACCCCCCCCCCCCATTTGCAGGCCAAACAAAATGAAAAGGTTTTATTACAACGGCATTTGAAAGATAATACTAATTTAAAACTTTTCTATCAAAAAAAGGGAGCTTGAAAATGTCTTTGAGTGGGCAAATAATGACTATTAGTTGTCGAATCGACTTATTAAGTGATAGCAATACAGTAAGTAATAGTCTGATTTCCAGACCATTGTACCGAATGGTCGTACGTTTTGTGCTGCGCAAACATTCAATTAGTTTAATTTTGGCCATTACAAGAAGTTGGTTATTGATGTAGGCAAATGCTCATGTACCCTTTATAGCTCATTGTATGTATGTTATTATTATTACAAAACAAGAAGAAAAAAAGCCAGTCAGTCACTCACTAGTGTCTGACAGTGCAGTTTAGCTAGTAAACGGGTTTCCTTGCATAATTTGAATATCAGGACACTGCTAAACGTTTAAATTTCACAGATAGGACATATACATGACATATTCATAATTCTATAGAAATTGATGATGGCTGCAAAAGGGACATAATATCTTTAAACTGAAAATAAATAAATAAATATATTGCTTGCTATAGTGGAATCTTGAGCTGTAATGAGATTTTACCTTGCAAGCAGCGTCGAAGAAGGATTGGTCAGTTACCAGCTTGAAACATCTGCCTGATGGTCCGTCCCTGATAAATCCCAGGGGACACTCAGCTACAGCTATGTGATGAGAAGATCAAAATTCACATTCATCAATGATAATCCATCAATACTGGATCAATACTTGTAGGCTACAGGAAGTAAACAAGAAATTAAAATGTATAGCAACGACACTATGGTCCCTTTATATGGTATTCTTATTCAAAATATCATAAATTTGATCAGTTTGATGAAAGGTAATGCAAAGTTTTGGGAAATTCTGAAAATTGGATGGATAGTAATTCTTTAAAATATTGATATATTTGGATGCCCCTGTAAATGTATTATTAGCACTAGAAAACGTATTCCTAAAACACTTCTGCTTTCGAGAAATTGAATAATCAAAAATTTACCGGTGCTCTCGGTAAATTTCAAAAATCTCAAATAGCGCCTAAGGCCATTCCTTAGTAGCTGCGACCATGACAATCTCAGAATATGCAGTTCTGATATATTATTTTCCAAACGGGAATAGCAAATCGGTGTATTGTAGTCAAGAAACTTTTTTGTAAAGCTATAGTGAGCTACACAACATAACATGTTTATTATTTACAATTTCATTACTTTAGACTCGATTTGAACCGCTACAACGATCATTGACTATTGTAAACTTGCATATGCTTCTTATATATTTATTTGAACCAAATTCATGACCCAATACAAAAACTTTGTATTGCCTTTAATAGCTTGGTGGCAGAAAAAATACAACACGACTTTAGTTACTTATTTACTAACAAAATCCAATAATCCCGATAGAGCTTTATTAACGGAGACAGAATGCAATAGTGCTGTCACCTCCATTCTCCTATCTAACTCTCTCGCTTTGCTCGTTTGCAAATAGCTAAGACTACCAGCTTATCGTGTCCAAAACATGGCAATACACCTATTATCACTTGTTTACTTTTATATTTAAAAAAAATTAAGTCGTATAAAGATGTTAATGTATATATAGGGGTCTGAAAACCTCAGCTCAATTCAAAGGCAATTCCAGCGTAACAAACATGACATTCAGAATCCTTTTTAGTTATTTAAGACACTTTTAAACAAAGTTGAGAGACCTAAACACATATATTCCAGTCTGTGATTTAGACACACTTAACTATCAATCACATGTATAGCAACATTCACAGTATTGCACTGAATATTTGATTCAATTTAATTCAACTCAATTTAATTTAATTCAAATGTTATTGATTATACTCAAAACAAATAGGATCATTGGACAACAACATTTGAAGACAAAGAATGACTCTTTGTGACCGTAGCGGACATGACACAAAATGGGTGGGGGGGGGGGGGGGTAAAGATCTTATTTAGGTAAGAAAAGCTTATAATCACACGCTTAACATAGATTTACGTTGTAGAACAATCGTGTTATACATTTGCTCGTAAAAGCTGATAAATGTAGCGTAACGGCCGGACATGACAGATCAAACGTAACAGACATGACTCCGTTGTCTGCTTCTTATATGCCCCTAGGGTGGTATTCTCAAAAGCGGACTAACTTTAGTCCATGGTTTAATCGACCGACTAATTATGGAATGCCAAGTGTCCATATGAATATGTTTTTGAATAATTTCACCTGTCACTAAATTAAAATAAAATGTAATAACATAATCAATAAAAAAAAAAAAGTATATAACTATGATATAATTGTGGTGGGCCAGTTAATGAGTTGAAGATGACAAGTTCGAATATAAATGAAAACACAAGAAGCTCGGAATTACAGTTAAAGTCCACTTTATTAAATATATAAGTCAGCCGAAGTTCCAATCGTTGCAAACGAAGAGTATTATTATTATTATATAAACATTGTAAATAAGCTGCTTCTCTCAGAGGCTGGGCAGCCATATTGACAGTAAACTAGCAGCACATCCTAAACATGATAACGGAATGAAATAAACTCTCAAATAATATCTACTATCAAATAATATACTCTCAAATAATATCAACTAAAAACTGACTTCAAAATCCCGCACCTGGCATTTAAATACCGCGGCACCCGATGAGGCTTAGATATTACATGATATTGCCAGCCAACCAGGAGGACTCTTACGAAGCCAACCAATTACAAGACGGGATATATCAAATTACCCTTAGGTCATCCGACCAATTCTCGCTACCCTAAATAGGTACGAAAATCTCGAAATTCGCGAGACGAGGTAATTTTCACTCTCTCGGGTCGTCACTACAACTTCCGGTATAGAGTCCCATCCCGCTGGCGCTAGCGCCTGTGTTCGCTGTGCAGAGTTTTCACGCACGCTAAAATCGTGAGCCCAGCACTGTGCAGCCTCACAAAAGAAAACCATCGTCACTGATGTCAAAAGACGCAAAAAACAACGAATGAAATGTTCAAATAAACGTTGAAATATTTGCGAAAAAAAAACAAGACCGAGCAGACGACATATTCGGTGCATACACGTTGTGTGGCGACGGCGTTTTACGTTTGCGCTATCGCGCCTAGTAATATAGCGCCTGCACAGGAAGCTGTAATGTCGAAAAGCTATCCCATAATGCAATGCGCGTTTTCAGGATTTTCCCCGGATCTCGGCAGAATCGCTATTTGGGGTAGCGAGAATTAAGAGAGGAGTTATACCTTTAATTAATTATAACCAATGACAAAGCATAATAGATGAGTGTCATCTGAACTAGTCACCGACAAATATGGGAGGAGTCTATATCTTCGCGAGAATGTCGCGTCCCCGGCAAAACAGTCTATTGTCTAACGTGTTATTGGAAATGAACACCTGTACATCTTGATGCAGGAATTCATTTCCAACGTGCTTATTGAAATGAACACTTTAATCTAATGCAAGAATTCAAAACCAGGGGTTGTTTACCCGTTCCCGGCTCTTCTATGGCTCTAGCGCCCCCTTTAGCCCAAATGAGCGTACCACTACATAATTATGTTATCATAGTAATTTAGAGACTATAATAAGGACACTTGGCATTCCATACTTAGTCGGTGGATTAAACCATGGACGAAAGTTAGTCCGCTTTCGAGAATACCACCCCTATATAGTTTTGCTTTTAACACGTTCGGTATGTATTATGGAAACTCTAATCAGTAATCCTCAGAACTTATTACCAACGAATCGAATCTAAAGTAATTGTCGTTTGCAATAATAATAGCCAAAGATTATGTGTTTTGAATATAATTCTTACACAATTTTGCCCTCAAAAAAATGTCGTGCCTCGGTATATTTTATTTCTACTGATAAACCACTAAAAGTAAAACATTTGTTGAGCTCTTGTATGTGGTACTTAACTTGCCGCATTGGAACACATAATCCTAGAGTTATTGGGTGGTATTCCGGTAGCGCGTACTAAGTTAGCGCGTACTTAGTTAGTTCATACTTCTATGGAGTGCCTGTTGCAAACTAATTTACCCTGTAAAGATTATTTTAATCCTTCAATGAAAAGTGTTCAAAAAATTAATTTTGCAATTAAATGGGAAGAAAAACATAATATGAGTATGAACTGAATTTCAAAAAAGTTTTTGGTAGATTATCTTTGTCATGAATATTGAAGGAGGAAGATGAAACCTAGCATTCCATAGAAGTGTGAACTAAAATTCTTGTTTAGTCTGGACTTAGTCCCGGCTTAACTTATGAGAATACCACCCATTGGGTGGTATTCCGGTAGCGCGTACTAAGTTAGCGCGTACTTAGTTAGTTCACACTTTTATGGAGTGCCTGTTGCAAACTAATTTACCCTGTACAGATTATTTTAATCCCTCAATGAAAAGTGTCCAAAAAATAAATTTTGCAATGAAATGGGAAGAAAAAGATAATATGAGTATGACCTGAATTTCAACAAAGTCTTTGGTAGATTATCTTTGTCATGAATATTGAAGGAGGAAGATGAAACCTAGCATTCCATAGAAGTGTGAACTAAAATTATTGTTTAGTCTGGACTTAGTCCCAGCTTAACTTATGAGAATACCACCCATTGCCATTTTTTTAATTTTTGGCTAGCGAACATTTTCGATGGCATTGCCCCGATGTTGTAGATCCTCTTTTCTCTATAAAGTGCCCTAACGGGGCGATGTCTCACCCATTCTGAAAAAGGGACGCTTTGTCACCAGTTCCGTAATATAAAAACGCATTTAGTTACGTAAAAATCATAACTTTTATCAGGTCAAAAGTATTGGTTAAAAAAAAGAAGACCTTCTGATAGTGAATTGTTTTCAAAAATGCAATTAACATCAATGGCTCATGGATTGCCTCACTTTTAAAGGAAGGTTCCACTGTTTTTCAGGATTATGCAATGTACGGTTCTGTTTGATGATGGAAAGTATATTAAACTAGGTGGACAAATTGACAACATTTTAAATTTTTTTGTTTCATTTTGAAACTTTATCAAAAATGTTGCTCAGGATAAACTTTATTACACGTCCAGTTTGCTCGGTAAGGGGAAGTAAAATATAAGGAAAATAAAATTCCATACATGAATTCTCTCTTCCAGTCTTGAGGCTTGAGGTCATTGTAGGTTTTAAAGGGTTAGTTGAGTTCTGTTTTCCGACCGCAAATGCCTTCAAAGTTCATGGTTATTGCTCTTATTCTTATCTATCACATTTATAGTACCCTTTTAGAACTTAAAATTGCTATGAAGGTAATTTTAGACTCCAAAATATGTGAAATTAGCCAATACGATCTTACCAATTCAGCTCCACTTTCAAAAAAACATGGTGACCGTTGATTAATTATTTAATTAAAAATAACAAAACATGAGCCAGCTAATTGTGGGTAATATAAGCAACACGAAAATGCCAACAAAAAAGCCAACATCGGCATTGGCTGAAATACGACGTAAAAAGGCGTTATTTCGTTTTTTTTACCGGTTTTTTCAAATTTTTCAAAATATCTAATATTTGTGGTGGTACACAAGTATTAGAAATCGTTATATTTCAGCCGTCTCTGAACCGATTTTGTTCAAAGATGATTTTGTCATTTAAATATTATGTTCTTTCAAATTTGAGTTTCTATTCCTCCTTTCATTTCGTAATGGCTTCATCTCAAATGATAATTCTGGTAGGTTAAAAATAACTGCTCTCCTATCACTAAACCCCACCGAGTCCAAGCACAAATTCTCTGTAAAGAGTGTCAAAACTGGCTATAATTATTGTGATCTATAAAGACACAGGATGAACACGAGAGGGCGTATCATCTGCCCGCCCCTTTTACCTATTTAAATGCTTACATTCGTGGAATACACATCACTTGAGTGATTTCCCGTCAGCCACATGCGACTGTTAGGGATTATAAATGTGTCTGCAGAGTTTTTATTCTACGTGTGTAGTCTATCCCCATCTAACTCCAGCACTCAAGATATCCTTTCCAATTTACATCTCGAAATATGAATGTCATGATTATTGGTGTGTCGTGGGAGTGTCATGGTCGAGTGGTTTAAGGCGCTTGACTTGGAGATGCGAAGGTCGAGGGTTCGAATCCCGACACGGCACTAATATCCTTTGGCATGATATTAACCTGCACTTGCTTACTCTCCACCCAGGTGTTAAATGGGTACCCGGTAGGATGCGACCGTCATTGTTGGTCAAACAGTTTTGAGCGTCATGTAACGCCTGGCTGGAATGCTCCCCAGGGAGTGGAGATTGTACAAACATTGTGTGCGGGCAAGCATTGACCAAGGTAATAGTATATGTGTAAAGCGCTTAGAGACATTTGTATTAAGCGCTTTATAAACATTTAATATTATTACTAATCAGAATTATTACTAATTCGAATTTTGCCCTTTTTCGTAGTACTTTGTATTTACTGATCGTTCTCAATCAATCCAAAAACTATATTATTGTAGGAATAGAGATAAAGCTACTTACCGATGCATTCTGGTGCCTCCTGCCATGTTGCATCATCTTGACATTCAATGTCATTTAGTCCTTCCAACTTGTAGCCGTCATTGCAATCATACCATGCAGTAGTACTTCCAGCAATAGAGGGTTCAGCGCTTGCCTTTACCTTTCCATTATCAACTTGAGGTGGAACCCCACATGACTTGACCGCGGCTACAATTGAGGAAAAAACATACAAACATGTGATGATCTAGTCAATGTTCGCAAATGAAAAATTGAAACAAAGTAAAACATTGAAATTGTAATCTTCCTAGGACATGGTCGAACATTCTTCTGAAGAAAGGCACGACTGGGAGTTGGCTTTTTCGGTAAAAATGATGACGTGTTGGTTCCAGTTGTATTTGGTCTTGTGCAACTCAACTACTAAAACGTTGATGTATTTTTTTGTCATCTATGATCTGTACGTAGATGGAGCAGGATTTGATGATGGGTTTGCGTTTCTTGGTAACCTGGGGAACCCGGCATATCAGTGGATTGAACTCCTTCAGCCAATCACGCCCCTAGCTTTGCAGCGATTCAAGATCCTCCAGGGGGGTGTTTCACAAAGATCCTAAATTGAACTTATCTCTAAGTTGGACTTAACAATTATGGAAAGCCATTAGCATCCTTGAAAATATTTGGTAAGCGTTATTTAAAAAAGCATAAAATGTTGATTTAAATCATTCATATTTTCTATTATCATGAGAGATTTCATGTTCTTACTGTGGAATTTATGAAAAGTCTAAAATACTTGCTTTTTTTTTAATTTGTAATATATTTCATTATAAAGCTACAAAAGGCTCTCCATAATATTTAAGTCCAACTTAGAGTTAGGTTCGACTTGGAATCTTTGTATAATACCCCCCTGGAGATGTAGGGCATCTTGCTTTGATGTTGCTGTAAAGCTTGCAATCATCAGTGAAGAGCCTACGGTTGCATTTGGTGAGAGATACTCTGGTAAATCGTCGATGAAGCGGAAAAGGAGCATCGGGCCAATGTCGGCATACTACGGTCCCTTTTCGGCAAAGATGGGAGCAACATTGGCATCTTCCACACACCTAGTATAACTCCCTGATTGAGGGGACTTGGAAGAATGCAGTGGACACAGGTGCCAATTCAGCGGAATATCCCTTCAGAAGTCAGGCATTGAAATGGTCAGGGCCATAGTGGCTTTATGAACTCCAAGCTCGGACAGAATTTTTCGAAACCCCTAATGGAGAGATAGTATGTGATTCGTGGTGTGAGTGTTAATCTGACCGTTTGTCGGTCATGTCTTCACTGTCAACTCGGATGTTCGGCATTAAGAGGCTGAACGAGTAAGTTAATTCATCACGCGGTTTCAATGAAGCCACACCTGAAGAATATATAAAAAATGTATAAAACTCCAGAAACGCTTTGGGTTACAGGTGAGCTGACAATGTCTTTCATGTACCTATTGTAGGCTTGTTTGCTGGTGATTCTTGAGTTCCAGATATTTCTCACGGTCACCTTTGCTAGTTGAAGCGCTAGCTGTTATAGCGTTTATTTTTCTTCAAATGAAGGCATTTCACAAGGCGGGTTCCCCCCCCCCCCCCCCCCCCCATCCCACTCCGGGGTCGGAGGGACCGCATTCGTATTCCCAAAATCTCCGGTAAAGGGGTCTTTATTACTCAGTAATATAAAACTAACCCCAACTAAATGCATTGCTATGACGGTCTCTTTTATGAAAAATCTAACTCACCAACTGTTGTATATTGATTAGACACTTTTAAATGGAGAAAATATAATCAAAGTTCTTAAAGTTTATATTCAATGTGATTTAAAATGGGATACTCAAGTAAAGGAAACGTTAGAGAAGTGCAATAGAAAGTTATATATGTTACGTACCTTGAAACGTTTTAATTTGCCTATTAGTGATCTCGTTATTGTTTATACTGGATACATAAGACCAATATTAGAGTATTGTGCACCACTTTTTCATTCCAACCTAACGCGTAAAGCCGTTAACAAATAGATAATATTGAACGAATACAAACACGGGCATGTAGAATTATTTTGGGACTTAATTATGAAACATATAATCATGCTCTAGAATTGTGGAATTTGTTAACGTTGGAAGAACGTAGGAATAAACTTTATTTTAATTTCGCTATTAACGTAGAAAAGCATGAATTTTGTTCTATATGGCTATTAAGTCAAAGAATTGTTAATTTTAATTAACGAAGTGTACAGAAATATTCTAAATTTATTTGTAAAACCATTCGATTTAAAAATAGCTCTATTCCCTGTTTTGTTTGCATCTCACTAAATGATTATTATTCAAAAAAGTAAGCTTCATGCATTTTGTATATTTTTATGTTTAATGATGCTGCTTATTATGCGTATGAATGTATCTATACAATAGGCTTGCGGGTGCACCATGTGAGAGAGAGGGAGGTTTGAGGAGTCCTGAAAAGGACTCTCGGTAATCTTTCTTGAGGGTTTTGTAGTCCTGAAAAGGACTGTTGGTTATCTTAGCTTCTAGTTTTAAGGAGAACTATATAGCGCTTGGAGAGGATGAGTGACGGGATATATCTAGTATATTTATCCTTTTATATGTCATTAATTTTATTTGATGTGTACATGTAAAATGCTGTATTTTAACCATCATGATGTATTTTACATTGTAAATGACCTGCAATTCAGCTTCAGCTGCCAGAACGTCATGTGAATAAACCCTTGTTGAATTGAATTGAATTGATACTTTTCGCGCGACAAAGTCCGGCCCGAGAATTTTTTTTTTAAAGAGGGGCGTATTTAACTTTTCACCCTAAGATTTCTTCAAAAAGGGGGTGTTTTCTCCCCCCCCCCCTCTCCCTCTCTCTCTCTCTCTCTCTTTGGACTCCTGACAATTTGAAAAGGGGGTTATAAAATATCTTGAATATCATAGATAGGGGGTTACATTGAGCAGTGTTCCGGATTTAGGGGGGAGGGGGGGGGGGGGGTCTCCAAGGCAGGAAAAGCCCGCGAAGGGGGGGGGGGGTCAGAAATGTTGGCAGCCCTGAGATAGGGGGTGCTTTCAAAGGGAGGGAACAAGCATACGTGTACCCTAAGTAACACTGAGTGGGTGGCCGGGGGCTGGTTATCCAAGTTGTGTGGTACCTAGTCAATCGCCCCTGTATATAATACGGGGCCTCTAGAGTGGATTTGCGAGAATTGTGAGCCAAGATGGATGTTCTATTGTATGTATGATCATGTCCCATCAGAGGCTGGAGGTTCATCATAGTCCTTCATGTGCATGGAATAATTTGTTTCCTGAAATCTTGTTTTGAACTGGTGAGATAAATATATGATTCCATGTATCAACTAGATCTACACTGTATTTTAATTTGTAATTGTTATAAATGTACTTGTTTGTCTTTTGTCATGAAAACTACCAGCATCCACTATATATTCCCCTAATCTTTTAAAAAATATATCCGATTGAATTCACCATGATAGTTACCTGTTCTTCCGTTTAGTTGTTGTTGAACTACTATATTTTAATGTTAGATATATAACCTTATTTCATGTTATCTTGTACTTTACTTTAAATATGACAATTCTTAGTCTGGGCTATTGCCATGTCCATTTTTAAAAAATAAAACCGAAATTGAATTGAATTCAATTGCATCTAGCTAAGCCTTTCAAGTCGGACATAAAGTTTCATTCTGTCCCACCAATATCTACATCTGGACCAGGAAGCGAGTGGCGATTCAGTCACCAGCACTATCAGCCCTGAAAACTATTATTTCTCTGAACCCACTTACATTACACAAACTTTCTTGAGATGTTTAAACTTGCTGGGGTGATATATGATATTGAGCACAATCACATAGTGTTGCATTTTTCTCCTCAATAATGTTCTAACTTGATACTGAATGAAAAGCACGAGCAAAGTCAGTGGCGAATAAATTATTTGATATTTTGATTATATATGTTGGTGTGAAAAGAGATTTGTTGGCTTTAAATTATTATCGATAAAGGATATAAGCTCTCGCAAATCACTTTGCTGACATACCAAGGTCATGTCGATTATGGAACTCCCTCCCAACCTTGATTTTTCCCCTTGCATTTAATTACATGGCCAGATTCATGAAAGATGTCAATGAGTATAGTTTAATTCAATAATTTTGTACATTTAATTTCCTTTTCCTTTTTAAATCACCTGATTCGAAATTAAATATAACTAGGGTATTATTAACGGGTCGCTTTTCATCAGCTTTGATGGTAACATAGGTCCTGCAATCTATTGTTTGAAAAAAAATAAGAATTCAAGAATAGTATTTTAGTTTACCTTTTACAAGATTGATAGTGTAAGATCCATCGCAGGAATTGCCTGCGTTATCTGTAGCCGTACACGAGACAACACACGGCCCTGCTCCTGCGGGGTATGTCCCAGGCTCAGGAGTACAGATAACATCACGTAGTCCACTGCCCTCGTCGGTGGCTGTCATCGCAAAAATGTTGATCTCACGGTAATTTTCACCAGCAGCAAGATTTATTGTGATATCTTCTTGCGCTTCGAAGGCGGGGCATGTTTTATCTGTAAATAAAAGGCGCATAATTGTTTTTTACTTATCGATGCCATACACATCGTATATGTATCTCTCATGAACTTGTAAGAAATTCAAGTAGTGCACTGATCAAAAACGAAATTCTTTTTCATAAACTCTCACACTAAGGTATAATAAGGAAAGGCCTTTAAGTGGTTCAGGAATTATCTCAAAATAAAACACAATTTGTATCTGTAAAATAGGAAAATCGTAATTCCTCTACACTTCCGGTTAACGGTGGAGCTTCCCAGGTCATCTTCTTTGAATTATGCTACGGTCACAAAAGTTCGTACGAACGATCATTTCGTACGAATCTCCCTGTTTTTCCATTGTCTTCCCGAATTTCCATTGTCTGAAAATCGTTCATACGGCGTTCGTAGCAGTTCGTAAAGGCATTTGTGACCGAGGCTTTACTTAAGGGCATTCAAAAATCCTTGAGTATTATTTCATTTATATTTTTTGCAGATGACTCCAACCTTTTCATCTCTCACTCCCAGTCTAATACAAACACACTTCTTAGCATTAAGTACCATGGAAATCACATAGACTCCTAGAGCTATATTTTATTGGATTTTGCGCTACATCAAAGCAATTATATTGTATTATTAGACTATTTACAGAAGCAACAGATCGGATCAAGGTAAACAAACTTTACATGCAGAAAACTAATTATAGGCCTATGCGGTTTAGCAACAGAATCACTAGTCTTCCAGATAACATTTTATTCGATAATACTGTTCGTCAAAATGTTTCTACAACTCAATTCTTAGGGGTCCGTCACATCTTGGAATCCGCAGTACCATAATATATATGTAAAACCTTCTCATGAACCACCGGAGCTATTAATAAACTTTAATACCTCCTTTCTTCTGCTCTCCTCACTGTATATCATACCTTGATATACCATATATAAATTATTGAACACTGGCATGGGGCTGTGCGGGACGAGCACATTTAAGCAGGATACTTCTGCTACAGAACAAAATCTTAAGGATTGTTTTTCATGTAAACTACAGATCTCATATGGATACATTTTGTTTAAATACAAACTTTCAAGGTGAAGAATACCTATTGTTTTTTTAACTAGGCCAACTCGCGTATAAAATCAGGTAAAAATGACCTTCCTCCATTTTTACCGATATGTTTCACAAGAAAAACACTGTACATAATTATTCAAGGTAATGTAACTAGGCAAGGTAATGATAATCACTAATTGCTATTAACAACAAAAATAACGCGTTATTTTTCTCTCATAAAAATGTAAGAATCTCCTGGACCGACCTACTTCAAACGTAATAATAGGTCACTTTTTTTTTTTTTTTTTTTGGGGGGGGGGGGGGGTTGGTATTTTGAACACGTGCATAACGATCCCATATTCACTCTTGTCCCCGATCTTCACGTTCCAGTCTCACACTCTGTGATTCTCTCGCTCTCTCCCTCCCCCCCCCCCTCTCTCTCTCTCTATCCCTCTCTCTATCTCTCTCCTTATGTTATTATACATGTAATTGGCATACCGTATATTTGTATTTCCATTTTGACCACTTCTTTCTATCATTATGGAACTAAGTTTTAGGGTTTACGCCACATTAGCATTGCTTCTTTAGCAAGCTCCTCGGTTTTACTGTATACATTTGGATCAACAGTGTTTCGTTATCCTTTTCAGCTCTTCAATATTTCTATTTTGTCTTTTATACAATCTTATTTCATTATTTTATGTCATTAATTAATTCGTATGCACTTTGTACATGTTGAAATATCTTCATCTTGAAACAGAAATGTATACAAAATCAAATCAAATCAAATCAAATCAAATCAAATCAAAAATGTATATCAATCCGTTTGACTATGTAACTTGAATATTCATATCTTTATATCAATATCATACTTTGGTCTAAGCTTGAATAGCAAGTGAAAGCAATCATAAAGTAAACATCGATCAGGACTTTTTTAAACTCTCATATCGCTGGTTGAACATCTCCAAACAGGCCATACATCGTGAGAACAAAACTGGCCTCTATAAATCGGCAGGGATTAATATGTCAACTTACCTTCGCAAGAACTCAAAGTTGTCCATGATGGGTCGCCTTCACCTCCGTTAGTTTCTTTACAGTCAATGGGGGTTGAGTCAGCTGCTTCGTATCCAGGCTCACATGTGAGAGTTGCTGTGGTTCCGGCAGTGGCAGGATCGTTATCAGCCGCGTAGGCTCCATTAACTACAACACCGATGTCGCCACATGTTTTTTCTGTTTAAAAAAAACCCATTCAATTGTAACTTTTAGTAACGTTATAAATTGATCATCCTATCATGTTGGTATATTCGATAATATTAACAGCAATAGTAATGAATGTTTCTTCTAAAGTACTTTACAAGTTAGCCGACCAAAGAGCTTACAGTATCATTAGTCCGGTCACTGGATTCAATGCCGATTCTGCACTTTACAATCTACACTCCAATTATATTATTAATTATACACCTATAGCTCGGTGTATAATGCTCGGCGTTTTTAGAGTGCGCTGGCATGCACGAGCGACGGAACAGGCGACGATAAGAAACATCGGAACGTAATGATAGTGATGACAAGTTATGCATAAACTGTATCACTCATGTCATTTATCAGTTTGACTGTTTAAAATGATTACCTCTATCCAAACTTTTTTCAGAAGATTTTCCATTTCAAATGTCAATTTCACTCGTAATACGATGCGGTTTTCTGGTCAAATTTGCTACATTATTTTCCTATTAATACTAATCTCTAATCACCGGATTTTGATTTTATAATTCCTACTCTGTATGGGCCTAAAGCATTAATTTTTATAGCCTGCCCGTCAGTTTCACTGTTGACATTTGAATCAACAGTGTTTCGTTATCATTTTCAGTTCTTCAAAATTTCTATTTTGTCTTCTATACAATCTTATTTCATTGTTTTATGTCATTATTGAATTCATATGTACTTTGTACATGTAAAAACAAATTCATATTAAAACAGAAATGTATACAAAATCAAATCAAATCAAAAATGTATATCAATCCGTTTGACTATGTAACTTGAATATTCATATCTTTATATCAATATCATACTTTGGTCTAAGCTTGAATAGCAAGTGAAAGCAATCATAAAGTAAACATCGATCAGGACTTTTTTAAACTCTCATATCGCTGGTTGAACATCTCCAAACAGGCCATACATCGTGAGAACAAAACTGGCCTCTATAAATCGGCAGGGATTAATATGTCAACTTACCTTCGCAAGAACTCAAAGTTGTCCATGATGGGTCGCCTTCACCTCCGTTAGTTTCTTTACAGTCAATGGGGGTTGAGTCAGCTGCTTCGTATCCAGGCTCACATGTGAGAGTTGCTGTGGTTCCGGCAGTGGCAGGATCGTTATCAGCCGCGTAGGCTCCATTAACTACAACACCGATGTCGCCACATGTTTTTTCTGTTTAAAAAAAACCCATTCAATTGTAACTTTTAGTAACGTTATAAATTGATCATCCTATCATGTTGGTATATTCGATAATATTAACAGCAATAGTAATGAATGTTTCTTCTAAAGTACTTTACAAGTTAGCCGACCAAAGAGCTTACAGTATCATTAGTCCGGTCACTGGATTCAATGCCGATTCTGCACTTTACAATCTACACTCCAATTATATTATTAATTATACACCTATAGCTCGGTGTATAATGCTCGGCGTTTTTAGAGTGCGCTGGCATGCACGAGCGACGGAACAGGCGACGATAAGAAACATCGGAACGTAATGATAGTGATGACAAGTTATGCATAAACTGTATCACTCATGTCATTTATCAGTTTGACTGTTTAAAATGATTACCTCTGTCCAAACTTTTTTCAGAAGATTTTCCATTTCAAATGTCAATTTCACTCGTAATACGATGCGGTTTTCTGGTCAAATTTGCTACATTATTTTCCTATTAATACTAATCTCTAATCACCGGATTTTGATTTTATAATTCCTACTCTGTATGGGCCTAAAGCATTAATTTTTATAGCCTGCCCGTCAGTTTCACTGTTGACATTTGAATCAACAGTGTTTCGTTATCATTTTCAGTTCTTCAAAATTTCTATTTTGTCTTCTATACAATCTTATTTCATTGTTTTATGTCATTATTGAATTCATATGTACTTTGTACATGTAAAAACAAATTCATATTAAAACAGAAATGTATACAAAATCAAATCAAATCAAAAATGTATATCAATCCGTTTGACTATGTAACTTGAATATTCATATCTTTATATCAATATCATACTTTGGTCTAAGCTTGAATAGCAAGTGAAAGCAATCATAAAGTAAACATCGATCAGGACTTTTTTAAACTCTCATATCGCTGGTTGAACATCTCCAAACAGGCCATACATCGTGAGAACAAAACTGGCCTCTATAAATCGGCAGGGATTAATATGTCAACTTACCTTCGCAAGAACTCAAAGTTGTCCATGATGGGTCGCCTTCACCTCCGTTAGTTTCTTTACAGTCAATGGGGGTTGAGTCAGCTGCTTCGTATCCAGGCTCACATGTGAGAGTTGCTGTGGTTCCGGCAGTGGCAGGAATGGTATCAGCCGCGTAGGCTCCATTAACTACAACATCGATGTCGCCACATGTTTTTTCTGTATAAAAAAAACAAACATTCAATTGTAACTTTCAGTAACGTTATAAATTGATCATCCTATCGTGTTGGTATATTCGATAATATTAACAGCAATAGTAATGAAGTACTTTACAAGTTACAAGTTTAACTTTACAAGTTAGCCGACCAAAGAGCTTACAGTATCATTAGTCCGGTCACTGGATTTAATGCCGATTCTGCACTTTACAATGCACAATCTACACTCCAATGGGGAGCATTATACACCTATAGCTAGGTGTATATTGATCTAAGGGTGCGCTGGCACGAGGGAGGGAAAAGGCGTAGATAAGAAACATCGGTACGTAATGAGGGTGAAGACAAGGTATGCATAAACTGAAGCACTTAAGTAATTAATCAGTTTGACTTTTAAAATGATTACCTCTGTCCATACTTTAAAAAAAAGATTTTCCATTTCACATTTCAATTCTACTCGTTATACGATTCAGTTTTCTGGTCAAATTTGCAAATTTTGGGACATAGTAGCTTAAACAAGCACTTTCAACAGTCTACTAGAGTTTTCAATATCAATAAATTAGGCTCAATTTACAAATATCTTACAATCATTGTATCAAACTCTGACTTTCTCTTAATTTTCTTTTTAGATCTTAACCTAATCTTAGCCCATTGCCTTATTATTTTATTGAATGACTGATCACTCATCTATATACCGTTTTTATCATAAGTTTTTCTTTAAGACTTGGAATGCTCTGAAACAGTGCTCATTTCTTAAACTTGTGATTTGTACATTTTCCCTATGGTTTTCATGCCTGAATTGACAAACTTTATCTTCAAAAGCGCCCTTTTCTGCTAAATCTATCTTTACTGATGACTTTTGTAATATATAGACATTTCCTTCTTTGAACAGTGTTGACATCGCTGCTATATCAGAATCTTGGTTTACAATAGACCAGCTGGGTTGTCTTTACAAAATTACGGGCTATGACCTTCTTTTCAGACGAAAATCATAGCATACCCTGTACCGAACAGTTTCAGTAAAATACTGTGACAGATTACATCATTAGGGGTAGTAAAGAATAAAGGAGGTGCCAAATGTGTCATCCACATAACAAAGTTTCAACATTGATGTACTGTCTAGCTTTGTCAACTGTGTTATAGCAAGGACACATTATTGACACGTAGATGCTCGGCCAGTTGTAAATATGGCTTTACATATCTTATCGTAGGAATAGAGAAGCTACTTACGGATACATGTTGGTGCCGTCTGCCACGTTTCGTCATCTTGACAGCTAATGTCTCCTGGCCCATCCCTCCTGTAGCCATCATCGCAATCATACCATGCAGTACTACCAGGAACAGAGGGCGTGGCGCTTGGTTTTCCCACTCCGTTCTCTACAACAGGTGCGTCGCCACATGATAAGACTACAATGTACATTGAGTAAATAAGAAAAACAGGAATATTATGATTTAGTAGTGTGCATGCACATCATACACACAAATTTGATTTGTCATGACGTAATTTTCTAATGGTCATTTTACAAAACAACGTTTTCTCTCCAAAGATAAATTGTTTTGAACGATCACGCCTCTGCTCTTAAAACCGCTTTCTCTTAAAGATACTATTTCCTTTTTGCAGCCAATATCAAATGTTGTAGAACTTTGCTGGAATTATGAATATGTCATGTATGTCCTACCTGTGAAATTTAAACATTAGCAGTGTGCTAGTATTCAAATTATGCATGGAAACCTGTTTACCTTCTAGACTTCAACTCTCAGAGACTTCTGATCAGTGACTGACTGACTTTTTTATTTGGTAATAACATAAAATGAGCTGTTACAGTACATGCGCATTTGTCTACATTAATAACCTACTACTTGTAATGGCCAACCTTAAACTGAGTGAATCTTTGTGCAGCACAAAACGTAGGACCATTCGGTAAAAGGGTTTGAAAATCAGACTTTTACGTGTACTTAGGTTATTGCAATCACTTAAGTCGGTTCGACATCTAATGGTCATCATTTCCCCCTTAAAGCCATTTTCAAGCCCTTTCGTTTCTAAGGAAGTTCTAAATTAGTATTGTCTTTCAAATGCCGTTGGAATTTAACCTTTGTAATTTTTTGGCCTGTAAATGGGACATATAGTACCTTTAACAAACACTTTCAACAGTCTACTGGAGTTAATACAATCAATAAATTAGGCTAAATTTACCAATATCTTACAATCACTGGAGACTATTAAGTTGAGTATTTTGTTATTTTTGTTTAAGGTCTTTCTACATAAATGTGTTACCACTGAATGAACATCATATACGTGATTTACAACATGGCCATGATTCTCGTCAAAGTTCATTTTGATCTAGACAAAATTAACAATAGCACTAGATGACTACCTACTTACACGGTGAGGATGTAAACCCATCAAAAAGGTTTGCAGCCATGGAATGAGCAGTCCATCAGAAAAGGGGCAAGGTCAAAAGTGAACAGTTGCTAAATTCACTGGTAAGCACTGGTATTCGGTTGTACAGGACTGTACTACACAGCAGCCCTACACTCTTCAAAGAATTTAAAGAAGAATGCACAGCCGAACAAAAGCAGTCATTTTACGACATTTCACATTTGACATTGCCCCTTATATTGATGTAATGCAAGTTCCATGACTAAAAAATCATAACATGGGTATCATGTTAAAGAGGAATACACACATTTTCTACTCATACCAAACAAAGCGATTTATAAGGTGATGAAGCGGATCCTAATCAAATGATTGGTTGAGAGCGTTCACGCGACCAGGCATTTATTTTGCCTAACACGTAATTTTGATAATGACTGGTCATTACCAAATGCTAATGACCGGTCATTAGTAAAATCATTGCAAGGAAGAGGAGCAAGCAATATATAAAGTCGGGAATATGCAATAAAACTTAGGGTGCATGGAAGCACTTGAAGGTTTGAATTTGGCCGATTGTTTCTCATACTCCGTGTTGTAATGAATAGATTGATACTCGGCATGGAGTAATATGTGAACTTACATCGGCAAGAGCTTACACCTGTCCATGATGGATCGCCATTACCTCCGTCAGTTGCTTCACAGTCAATGGGGCTTGAGTTAACTGCTTCGTATCCAGCATCACACGAAAGAGTTGCCTGGGTTCCGGGAGTGGCAGGAATGGTATCAGCCGCGTAGGCTCCATTAACTACAACATCGATGTCGCCACATGTTTTTTCTGTATAAAAAAAAACCCCATTCAATTGTAACTTTCAGTAACGTTATAAATTGATCATCCTATCATGTTGGTATATTCGATAATATTAACAGCAATAGTAATGAAGTACTTTACAAGTTACAAGTTTAACTTTACAAGTTAGCCGACCAAAGAGCTTACAGTATCATTAGTCCGGTCACTGGATTCAATGCCGATTCTGCACTTTACAATGCACAATCTACACTCCAATGGGGAACATTATACACCTATAGCTAGGTGTATATTGATCTAAGGGTGCGCTGGCACGAGGGAGGGAAAAGGCGTAGATAAGAAACATCGGTACGTAATGAGGGTGAAGACAAGGTATGCATAAACTGTAGCACTTAAGTAATTAATCAGTTTGACTTTTAAAATGATTACCTCTGTCCATACTTTTAAAAGAAGATTTTCCATTTCACATTTCAATTCTACTCGTTATACGATTCAGTTTTCTGGTCAAATTTGCAAATTTTGGGACATAGTAGCTTAAACATGCACTTTCAACAGTCTACTGGAGTTTTCAATATCAATAAATTAGGCTCAATTTACAAATATCTTACAATCATTGTATCAAACTTTGACTTTCTCTTAATTTTCTTATTAGATCTTAACCTAATCTTAGCCCATTGCCTTATTATTTTATTGAATGACTGATCACTCATCTATATACCGTTTTTATCATAAGTTTTTCTTTAAGACTTGGAATGCTCTGAAACAGTGCTCATTTCTTAAACTTGTGATTTGTACATTTTCCCTATGGTTTTCATGCCTGAATTGACAAACTTTATCTTCAAAAGCGCCCTTTTCTGCTAAATCTATCTTTACTGATGACTTTTGTAATATATAGACATTTCCTTCTTTGAACAGTGTTGACATCGCTGCTATATCAGAATCTTGGTTTACAATAGACCAGCTGGGTTGTCTTTACAAAATTACGGGCTATGACCTTCTTTTTAGACGAAAATCATAGCATACCCTGCACCGAACAGTTTCAGTAAAATACTGTGACAGATTACATCATTAGGGGTAGTAAAGAATAAAGGAGGTGCCAAATGTGTCATCCACATAACAAAGTTTCAACATTGATGTACTGTCTAGCTTTGTCAACTGTGTTATAGCAAGGACACATTATTGACACGTAGATGCTCGGCCAGTTGTAAATATGGCTTTACATATCTTATCGTAGGAATAGAGAAGCTACTTACGGATACATGTTGGTGCCGTCTGCCACGTTTCGTCATCTTGACAGCTAATGTCTCCTGGCCCATCCCTCCTGTAGCCATCATCGCAATCATACCATGCAGTACTACCAGGAACAGAGGGCGTGGCGCTTGGTTTTCCCACTCCGTTCTCTACAACAGGTGCGTCGCCACATGATAAGACTACAATGTACATTGAGTAAATAAGAAAAACAGGAATATTATGATTTAGTAGTGTGCATGCACATCATACACACAAATTTGATTTGTCATGACGTAATTTTCTAATGGTCATTTTACAAAACAACGTTTTCTCTCCAAAGATAAATTGTTTTGAACGATCACGCCTCTGCTCTTAAAACCGCTTTCTCTTAAAGATACTATTTCCTTTTTGCAGCCAATATCAAATGTTGTAGAACTTTGCTGGAATTATGAATATGTCATGTATGTCCTACCTGTGAAATTTAAACATTAGCAGTGTGCTAGTATTCAAATTATGCATGGAAACCTGTTTACCTTCTAGACTTCAACTCTCAGAGACTTCTGATCAGTGACTGACTGACTTTTTTATTTGGTAATAACATAAAATGAGCTGTTACAGCCCAATAAACAGAACACTAAAAAATAACCTCTTTTGGGAGTGTATTTTAAGTGATTTTAAAGTATGGTGACTTTTGAACTAGATTTAAACATTATCGACACGTGCTTTCTTTTAAACAAAAAAGGTAATCCTGTTCACGTTTTCATCTAACCTAAAAACAACAGTTTTATCACGCGACTGGAGTAACGTGATTCCACTTACCTCTGTAAATCAAGTGTTTATGACCAAATAACCACTTGACCAAGTAACGAGTTTTTTTTCCGTTAACCGATGGTGGTAATAAATAGGTAATTATTTGGTCTTTTAAGCACCTTTATCGATTGGTTTCACAGGCTATCCAAGGTTGATGGTAATAATCACGTTACTTACACCGGCTAATCGTCTTATTGTTCTGTCCGTGAATCTCTGGTTGTATTAAATAAGTAATTTTGAGGTGTCTTACACACCTCTTTTGAATGGTTTCAAAGTTACCATAACTTTCTTGGTGATGATCACGTGGCTCAAGCTGATTACTAATCTAAGCTGTGAACTCGTGATATTTAGGTGTGAAAATTAGTAATTATTAGGTGCCTTAAAACACCTTTTTAAATGGTAGTCAAGGTTGCCATAAGTTCCGCGGTAATGATCTCGTGACTCAAACGGATTATTAATCTAAGCTGGGCATCCGTGCTTTATAGGTGTGAAAAATTAGTCATTATTAGGTGTCTTAAAACACCTTTTTAAATGGTTTTAAAGTTACCATAACGTTCTTGGTGATGATCACGTGGCTAAAACTGATTACTAACTATTCTAAGCTGTGAATTCGTGGTATTTAGGTGTGAAAAATTTGTAATTATTAGGTGTCTTAAAACAACTTTTTAAATGGTAGTCTAAGTTGCCATAAGTTCCGCCGTGATGATCTCGTGACTCAAACGGATTATTAATATAAGCTGGGCATCCGTGATTTCCAGGTGTGAAAAATTAGTAATTCTTAGGTGTCTGAAAACACCCTTTTAAATGGTGGTCAAAGTTACCATAAGTTCCGTGGTGATGATCTCGTGACTCAAACTGATTACTACTCTAAGCTGTGAATCCGTGATATTTAGGTGTGAACAATGAGTTATTTTGGGGTGTCTTGATGGTTTCACAGTTACCATTTAAGTTCCGTGGTGATAATCCCGTGACTGTTTGCATTTTTCTATTTGCACCAGTTGATAACTGACTGTTGGCATATTTCCAGTTGCACCAGTTGATGACTGACTGTTTGCATATTTCCAGTTGAACCAGCTGACACCAAATAATTTGCATATTGAATATGGGGTGCGTGCAGATCAATGTTTTTAAACAATTTATCTGAATTTACAGCATATTTTTTAATTACTGATGATTTAGTTATATGCAATTCATTTCGAAAATACTACAAATATTAATTACCAGTAATGGGGACATTTCGCTACTTCGTATAAATTACATTTAATTAAACATGAATAAGGAAAACATTAACTATGAACTAAAATGATTGCAATAAAATATAAGTATATGAAAACATTTCGATTAATTAAATTATGTAAGTCTACTTATTACCAATGCCTTTACATTGGGAATACAGACGTACCAGTATTGCAGTGTTGTTGCCGTTCAACTGGTTGGAAGTTTTACCAAATGGTTCTAATGGCTCAGCTAGACCAGTTGAATTCTAACTGGCCTGGATCAACTGGATCATTTAGCCTATTTCAATTGCCAGGGTTACCAGTTGGCATTAACTGGTTCATCAACTGGACCAGTTGCAACTAGCTTTCTCTTCTGGGATGTTTGCACCCAACCCCCCCCCCCCCCCCCCCGCCCCCCCCCCCCCCCCACACACACACACCCCCTCTAATCCCAAACTGCTTCCGGCGCGCCTGGACGTAATTAAGGAAGATCCAAAACACGATGTTCAGAAACGGGATGAGAACGTCATTATTTTGGTTCATTTATTGTGTAAAATCTGCGTAATTATTGGGTTGAACGCAGGTTACAGTAACATATTTCCTCTTCGACGTAAATTTCACGTGAATGAAGAAGATGATTCATCTCAAGTCAGCCTCGTAATATTCACGTGAATTTCACGCAGATATTCTGACTAAAACTATCACTAACGCTTCACTTGTTTCTGTGATGCGATTCTAAAACTTCTAAAGAATGTGATAATTTCGTTTATGAAGATGTAATTTCCTAACCAAACAAAAACGGGAGTATCAGGTTTACAAACCATGGTCTCCAAGGTAGGGATAATCACGTTATTATAATGGTGATATTGCAGTGACAATTGCGTTATTTAGTGTACGTGTGTTTTAAGTGACCTAGTGCAATAAACGTATTAACACATTTACGTAAATGTCAGGTGTTTGAAGAACGTTACTCTCCTCAAGTCGATACCTTGATATTGACGTGATTTTCACGTGATTTTGTTTATTGGGAGGTACATGCGCATTTGTCTACATTAATAACCTACTACTTGTAATGGCCAACCTTAAACTGAGTGAATCTTTGTGCAGCACAAAACGTAGGACCATTCGGTAAAAGGGTTTGAAAATCAGACTTTTACGTGTACTTAGGTTATTGCAATCACTTAAGTCGGTTCGACATCTAATGGTCATCATTTCCCCCCTTAAAGCCATTTTCAAGCCCTTTCGTTTCTAAGGAAAATCTAAATTAGTATTGTCTTTCAAATGCCGTTGGAATTTAACCTTTGTAATTTTTTGGCCTGTAAATGGGACATATAGTACCTTTAACAAACACTTTCAACAGTCTACTGGAGTTAATACAATCAATAAATTAGGCTAAATTTACCAATATCTTACAATCACTGGAGACTATTAAGTTGAGTATTTTGTTATTTTTGTTTAAGGTCTTTCTACATAAATGTGTTACCACTGAATGAACATCATATACGTGATTTACAACATGGCCATGATTCTCGTCAAAGTTCATTTTGATCTAGACAAAATTAACAATAGCACTAGATGACTACCTACTTACACGGTGAGGATGTAAACCCATCAAAAAGGTTTGCAGCCATGGAATGAGCAGTCCATCAGAAAAGGGGCAAGGTCAAAAGTGAACAGTTGCTAAATTCACTGGTAAGCACTGGTATTCGGTTGTACAGGACTGTACTACACAGCAGCCCTACACTCTTCAAAGAATTTATAGAAGAATGCACAGCCGAACAAGAGCAGTCATTTTACAACATTTCCCATTTGACATTGCCCCTTATACTGACGTATAGCAAGTTCTATGACTAACAAGAAGAATAACCACGCTTTTTACTTATACAAAACTTAACGATGATAATCAATTAGGTATATATGTGAGTTTCCAAACTGTTTTTGGAAGAGTTTATAAATCCTTAATGGAAACCTAACCCCAAAGAATAAGTGTAGGTATTCTGAAAAACAAGATGAATTCCTACCTTTTGATGTACAATAAATCTTACGAACGTGTATACAAGAGATATATAAATGAAGATATCTTTTCATGATGAAATGCCTTTTAGCATGACATGAGCGCAGCCATTTTCTTGAAAACGTGACGTAACAGGCTGGCGGAGTTGTACATGTATCATGCATCAAGCTTTAATTGGAAAGACTTTTTAATTCAAAAACATAATTTATTTTTCATTGTGAAACCGTTTAGCCGGGAAGGTAAAAATAACATTTGGTGAAAAATATACATTAGGGTAACAATTTTAACTAATTTGTTTAAAAATACTAAAATATAGTGGTTGAAAATCAATTCTATTTATGCGATACCTTTACCCTAGAACAGCACCAACTGATTGTGCGTTCTAGCAATTGTAGTACAAATGATAATCGCAAGTAAAATGAAATGCTTCAACACCACAAACACCTGGGAAGGAAGCATCCATAAATTTGAATACATTTATTTGATAAACGACTTCGCATAATATAGTGCGTCATGCTAACAAGAAAATGGCAATGCCCATGTCTTGCTGAAAAACTGTACTTGGTTTATGCCTTTCTCATACACTTAGGTGGAGAATCTTGTAGATTGATGGGCAAGGATGCAATAAATCTCTCAGAACAACTAAAGTTATGCATTGGGGTTAGGTTTCATTTAATGTTAACCAACTATTCTGTTTGCATGTCTCCTTTAACCAACTGCGATAACACTCGTGTATCATACGCATGAAATACGAATATATGCCTTCGCTTTTTGGCCCCGTCAGACCTGGTCATCAATCTCCTTCAAATTGTTTTTAGGCTTATAGATATGTATGTCTAGATGTGCATTACGGCAGGCACGTGGCTATGATTTTATTTTAAGGGGTGAAGCTAAGGAGGGGGGCTCCCCCCTCCCCTCCTTCGCGAAGCGCGGAAGCTTTGACGTTTCATTAAATTATTAGAGAAAGAAGATTTGTTGTCCCGTTCTCGTCTCTTAATCCTTGTCTGAATTCAGTTTTCCCCCTCCCGCGCGAGGCGCGGAAGCTTTGACGTTTCATTAAATTATTAGAGCAACAGAGAAGACGATTCGTTGTACCGTTCTCGACTCTTAATCCTTGTCTGAATTTTGAAAAATGTTTCTTTGTCTGCTCCTTTTTCTT